AAAATTAACGTTGTAGCTCATCCGGGTACAACAGTCTCTACTCGCGTATTCACTACCAACATACACGAAACGTCTTTCTAATTGTACTTTTGCACCTGCGAGTCGTGCGATCCTCGCCATCGCAGATTGTCTATTTGCAACGATGAGTCGAGGACGTTTAATACGGCTAAGTTCCTCGAGTTGTTCGATGCACTCCTCACATCGTTGCAACCACGCGAAACACTCCATCAAGGTAGCGACTTGGCTGCACTGCTCCAGCAGCTCGCGTTCCACTCGCTCTAGGTGTTCAATATTGCGAAAACTTGATTCTTTTAAATTGTTGTACTGTCTCATCAAAACAATTTTACATTTTTTTTTACTTTCTTTTTTTCTTTTCTTTATAGCTGCTTTAACTCGAAGCCAGTATATAAAGCGTTGTATTTCCGACATGTCCGGAGATTGATGGGAATAAAACCATATATGATTATCCTCGCTTCTTGGAATTATCTCTGCTTTTGCTGCGAGAGGGATAGTAATATATTGTATGCGTGTCCTTTATAATGACAATATGTGCACGCTTCCAGAATTATTTCCGCTCTCTCAGAAGGAGCGGAGAAGCAGAGAAGCACATCACACTCTTCCACGGAGCACTTGCATATGATTCGTTCACAATTGTCTTTTTTCAATTTGTGCAAATTGGGCACATGTTGCATGGCGTTATCACACAGATGGACTATTGGCAATTGGAGCAAAATCGGTTGTTTAGCGCATTGAGAGCATCTATCTCGTGCTTCCTAACTTCATACAATATTCCAATGTCAGTGTTTGCCAGACGAACCTTGCATTCGGCACATAAAGTTAGTGCACCACACGTTGAATAATAAAATTGTATTGAACAATACTTTTTATTATTATTCAACGCAAGGAGTTCTGAACGGGTAACAATTTTTTCTGCGTAATCCGTAAGGTCATCACTTTGATCACTTACGTAATTGCTATCGTCAGACAATGCTCTTCGTCTTCAATATCAATGTCAATATTGTTAATATTGTCAATCTCCATTTTTTCTTCATTTCCAAACACTTCGTCTACTATATTCACAAAGTCTTCCTCATCCATATTAAACACATTTTCTATATTTAACACATTATCCATTTTCACCGTCAACTATTTTTTTCACACACATTAGATTTTCATCTACTGTGATCCTGCACATCCCATGACCCATTATATATCATCGACAATTTCTTTGTCCCTTTGTCTAAATCGAAACATCATCATAGGTCTCCCCGATTCGCAATTTGTTTATAGCAGCCGGAGTATCGGCGCTTCTCTTAACACGCTGCGACACGTATCGATTTCTACGAAGAGCTATCTTTTCACGGGGGTTCTTCCTAGAAAAAATTGTATCATTATCTTTTCTTTGAAACATGTTATCAATGCTTCTTTAAGCGGGAACAAGTCGTGACACATTTGGTTGCAACGATGGTTGAAATTCCTAGCAAAAAGGGTAGAAAGGGAAGGGGGTGGGGGAGGAGGTTAACGCTCCGCTGTGTCAAAAATTTACGCGGATGCGATCAGTTCTCCATCATTCATTTGTATGTACAAACGCAATATACTCCGCTCCTCCATCATTCGTTTGTACGAACAACACGCAATGTATTCCGCCAAAGGAAGCAGCGCACCGTACGATGGCGAAAAACAGACGAAGGAACGTAACGCGTAAGTTTTCATATTTTATTTTTTCTTTTTTAATATTATATTTAATTTTAATATTATATTTAATTTCTTTTACATTACACAGCATTTCGGTGGAGCGTCGTGCTGTGTGCCTACTGAGCAGACGTTACACTCTGACAGCCACGGGCTACAAATTTCTGGAAATTGGAATCAACATTGGTCCACCGAGGAGATCGCTACGTGGAGATCGCTCTGGGAGATTATCGGGGACAGGAACTTATACTATCTCTCGAAACGTGGACAGGACTCTACGAGCAGCGATGGAATATCTACAAATTGCTGCGAAACGATTACAAAGATAATTTTATAAACGTCGGACCGTTAACCGTCAGAGTTTACCAGATGAACAACGTTACACTACGTTACGTAGGTTTGAATCTTTGAACGCATAACGATGATCGAATCGACTCCTCGCCGTATGTT